GTTGTACATATAACGGCCCCATGTGCCTCCCCTTCTCTTTCTAAGATGTTCTACTGAGTTAAGCTCACGGGGCTGCTATGAATGTTTTTTCCCTGCTTCTGCCTCCTCTGTAGATTAGGATCCTGGTGCCATTTGGGTGACACCTGGCAGCAAGATACAAGACCTCGACGCTCTGATTCCCTGCTTTTATGGCACATTTTATTAGTCTTGGTTTGAACAAAGAGCCCTTTCAGCCTTGTTGTATAAGGACAATAAACCAGATTCAGTGGGTGGTAGTTTTAACTAGCTTTCAATTCTAACTTTCAGGTTTGATGGATATAAAAGGTTTCCATGTCCCAACAAATGTAGTGGAACACATTGACTTCTCTAGGCAAAGACGTATGCTCTAATTTGAGACAGGGCTTTAGAGTCAGCTCTGTACTAGGTTTGTGACCTGGTTTTGCCACTTAGCAACAGTGTGGCCTTGGGCAAGCTAATCCCCAGGCCTCTGTTTCCAATAGAGGTTCCTACCTTGCAGAGTCTATTTTTCATCTGGAGCCTTTCTGGGATTCCGTGGTGCCTCTGAGCATCCTCCACAGACAGCTTAGGATCCAGGTCCTGGTTCTGCTAACCAGGCTCCAAAATGGAATGGTTGTCCTCACTTCTGTTTTCTGTATCCTTGCGAGTTTATACTTTAACAAAATTTGTCTTCTGCCTGTTTAGTGCTATGTTTATAAATTAGGCAGTGAGGTAAGTTCATGCATGCAATTTGCCATCTTTAACCAGGAGTCATCTTTAGGTTTTTAAAGAAATATTCTTTATTTCTCTTATTATCATAACAGCAGTCTCTTGAAATTTCTGTGTAAGAATAAATTTAATGCTTCCCTTACCCATTCCCTGCTTTCATTAATATAATCTGAGGACTCATTCTTTGGTTATGGTTGTTAAGTGTTTTATATTAAATTGTCCCAAAAGGATAATAGCATTTAATTGGGTAATGAAATTCAGCATAATTATTTATGTTGCTAACCATAGTCCTTTTATTCTAAAGTGCTTTTCGAATTCTTAATTTTTATTTATTTCTGGTAGGTTGGAATTGACCTAATATTTTGGTAACGGTTAATGAGTAATGTATTTTCAGAGTCTTCAAATATGTGAGACTATTTTTCATATTCCTTTACAAATGAAAGGCAGTTTGGCTGGCAATGGTTTTCTTTGATAGAGTCTTCTCTTTCTTCTGTAATTTAGTAATATAGAGGAGAAATTTAAGACCAACTGGACATTTGTTCCTTTGATGGTGTCTTATTTTCATTTGATTTGTGTGTTGACTTGTTTTTGTTTTCATGCCTGGATACTGAAGGACTTTTTTTTTTCTTTTTAATTTTAACCCTAAGATCCAAAATTTTTGACAGAATGTGGCTTTTAATTGATATATGTTTGGAATATAATTTAGCCTTCTTTTTTTCAGTTCAGATTTTTTTTTCAATTGTGTCTTTGATTATTACTTCTATTTCCATTCTTCACTTGTGTTGTTTCGGAAAAGACTATACTTAAACTTGGTTTTTCTGATTCCTCCAGATCTAGGATCTTCTTTCATTTATTGGTTCTCTTCTTCAGCCTAATGGGAAGGTTTATCTTCCATGTCAATGATTTAATTGTACACAGTGTGTGTCTACATTTTTCTCCCTCCCCTAATGTGGGTAAAATATTCTGTCACTTCATTTTTAGAATCCTTGTAATGCCTCTGTACTTTACCTATAATCTCTTTTTATCTTAGCCAGTAGTCTTTTATTAATTTATAGCTTTCTACTTTTGTTTTTAGGGAACATAGCTTCTTGTATCGTATTAAAAATGCCAGTACTTTTCTAAAATTTACTTCTGATTCCTCTAGGACGTCATGTTTAGGAGATGGTTCTTCCTTTGAATCTTTAGCATGCTCTTTCCATACTTATACAGTACTTCTTAGTAGACCTGTATTGACATTTATCTATTTTCATTCCTGAATTGGAAATATCCATCTAGATCTGCTCCAGCAAGAGTGCATCAGCCCCACTCTCTGTCATCTTGTTTGCCAGCAAAAGTCCTCTTTAAGGTCTCTGACTTTTTAGCAAGTTGATGTTTATAGGCTCTGGCCCATTCTCAATGGACCAGAAGGCATGTAAGGCAGCTATCTCCAATGCCTTATTCTCTGTCACTCTATATATGGGATTATATAAGAATAGCAACCCCTAGAATGAGATTCTTCTGCTGCCTCAAAAGCATCATTCATGACAGAGAGCTATCTAGTTTTCTGACTGATACAGATTTTTTGCATTTCTGTACAAAATGGCAGAAAGTGGAGAAAGGGAGATATACAAAGATTTTCTGACTTCCTTCAAGACTCATGGCTTGTTTCTCATTGCCTCTAATTACATTTTAAAAATTTAATTTTTATTTATTTATATTTTCTTGGTGAGGAAGATTGTCCCTGAGCTAACATCTGTGCCAGTCCTCCTCTGTTTTGTATGTGGGACACCACCTCAGCATGGCATGATGAGCGTGTGTGTAGGACCATGCCCAGGATCTGAACTCACAAACCCTGGGCTGCCAAAGCGGAGCATGTGAACTTAATGACTATACCACTGGGCTGGCCCCTCTAATTACATTTTTAAATCTAATTTTATTCTTTTTTTCTGCCATAAAACTTCTTCTCTGATTCTTAAAATAGCTTGAAGGTCATTTCTTCCTTTTTGTGGTTGCATGCGTTTACTTATCCCTCTTTTTGTAGATATTTTAGTGGAAAGTTGGGAGAGGCTATATCAGGGGCTGGTAGCTGGACACCATTTAAAACTGTAGCTTGTATGAAACTACACAAATTAAAACAGTAATTTGTGCATGTGGCAAAATGCTTGAAATTTTTACTTCATGCACGTATTTTGTGGAAATAAACTCTGCCTTTTAAATATTCATCACAAGTTGTTATTTAAATGATGGAGACATTGATGTTCCTGCAATAGAACCTCTGTCTTATGAAAATTGGGTCATTTTGTTCTGAAATAAAAAGTAGATACATAAGTGATTGTAGGAATTCCAATGACCTCCATAAAATTTTTATTATACGTAAAAGCTGCCTGATCATTGCCTACTAACAAAAGGGTCTTAGAGCTGAAACAGCTGTTATAAATCATTAAACCAGGAGTTGCAAATTCAGTTGCCTTCAGGGGTCAGAAAAATAATCTGCAAATCCATGAAGTAGGTTGGTTTAATACAATAGGGAGTGGGCAGTATAATATAAACCCATTGTCCCCTTACAGAGATGGAACTGAGGTCAAGGGACATTAATAGATTTGCCCAAAGTTAGGAGAATCTATGTGTCTTAATCAGAACCAGCAGGGCCCAATACAAGATAAAATATGGAGCCCCTTGTTCAACAATTATGAAAAATTTCAAGGTAGTGACAGCAAAGCATTAAACCAAGCACGGGACCCTAGGTGGCTGCATGAGTTAGTTATATACCCTTGAAGCTGTCCCTGGTCTTAACTTCTGATCTAGAATTTGTACATCCAAACAGAAAGGAACACAGAGACTCTCACCCACAACCACCAAAAATTGATAATAGAAATAGGGTTAAAATTAAGTCCTTGATTTTGATACTGCAAGAAGTGAGCCACCTTTATTTACAAGAGGGCTTTTTGAATGAGATTTTAGAATCATTGCTCTTCTGTATTGTTTGGAACCTTTCGTTGCATCATGACTACTTACATCCGTTTTTAGTGTTCCCTCCTGAATTCAGGTTTTATGAATTATTAGTTGAAGATTTTCAACCCTGAAGTTCAAAGCTCTTCTCTAAATGTGAGTCCTGACTTAAATTCCAGAATGTTTGAAGAGTCACTTAGCCCAGGAATGAAACTCTGAGGGACATTGTGTCTTCTGTTGGGTCTTACTCAGCTCTGGGAGGCAGGACCCCACTGTTTTCTTTTCTTCTTAGCTGAAGATAGCTGTCATTTCTCCCAGAAAATTTTATCTGTAACTGGAATCATCTAAAATAACCTTTTTTTTTTTTCTACCTTATTTGAAATTTTTGCATGGCTTGCAAACACAAAAAGCAATTTGCCTCCTGACAGATTGAAGCTGACTAATCACTTTCTCCTTTGTGTTCCTTTACAATTTATAACCCATGGTGCCACTAACAACGTAACCACAGGAATCCTATTTAGTGAAATCTAGCCAGCTTTTAAAGGCGCAGCTATTAACACCCAGAAAATATAAGAAATAAAATTGGGAATTGAGTACTAGGGTAAGAGGTTTTTTTTTTGTAGTAACTATATATATGTGATATATAATTTATATAAAGTCTTCATGTAAATAAAGTCATATTTTATAAGACCTAAACATTCAATCATTTAAAATTGAAAGGGAACTTAAAATTTTTCTCATTAAAAAAATGAAAATTCAGCAGCTAGACATACAGTGTGGAGTCATGTAAGATTGTCATTAACAGTTGTATAGCTAATGGATGATTTAGATTCCTAATGGGTTCCTTTAGCAATATCCATAAATACGTTGATAACTGTTTCTTAAAAGACAAAGAAAAAAACTTACCTGATTTTAAAAATATTGCCTTTTATTTTTAAACCAAATATGAACTTCAGTCAGGTTATTTACTTAATATCTGAATCAGATGAAGAATTCAAAACTATCTTATGTACCTTTGTATTGTTGAAATATATTTCCTCATGAGCAAGTAACAAGAGGGAATTCACATGTTGGAGAAAGAGAAGATGAGCAGATGGGCAAATACAGTAACTGAGTAAAAGAAAATTTGTTATGAATATAATTATTAATATTTAAAATATTTGCAGTCAACCATGCACATGAGTGTATGTGTTCAGCTGGTACTGAAATTACTTATTAAGTTTAATCTCTGGTTGTGGTGGGGGTTTGGGGGGCAAATTTAATGGACTTTTTTTACTCGCATATTTTAGAATATGCTGTGACATATATAAACTGAATGTCATAGAAATTTCTTTGACCTTCTACAGGTGGAGATTTTCGTTTTACCTTTATGTATTTACCTATGGAGTGCGGTTCCTGAAAAAGGTAGGGTCTGTCCAGTTACTTTCTCTAATTCTTAAGTAACTGTAAGCGTATATATTATTTTTTATGTGTGATAGTAGTAATGTTTTAAACATCTAAACAGGCTTCCTAGGAATTACTTGTGCATTTTTCTTTGACTTACAAAAATATTTTCAGTCTGATCTTTATAGTAAATAATCTTTACGCATATACCGAAAATACTTTTGGGAAATAATTTGTTTTTCCAGTGAAACATGTTGCTACGTCCTCTCACCACTCTAGCTGGTTATTTATTACTTATGGACATTTGGAGCCCTATAAAATCCATCTGATGCTTTGAACGAAATTAGAGTTTCCACGTTACACAACTTGAAAAAATAAGTTGTTGCAATGTGTGTTATCACTGTAGTCTTCACCAGTAGAAATTATATTTTAGTGTCTTGCATAGTTATTAACAGGGCAACAGCAACTGCTGGTGGAAAATTCAGTTCCTTTCATAGATTGTGTTTCCCCTACTGCTGCTTTGCTATTCCTGCATAAACTGAGGCACCTTTATCTATGAAAGTAACTCTTTGAGGCTGCCATAGTTTTCTTCCTGGTTATTTCAGTGCCTAATGGCACCACTAACAAGTTAGGCTGCTTAAATTCAAGTCTTATGAAGACTTTTCTTCTCATATTTATGCACATACTAGCAATAGTGGTTTGGCAGAAAATGGGAAATTATTTTATAGTATTAACCTTTAAAGTGATATCAATGTTATCTTTAGTACAAAAATTTTTTTCAAAATAGGGCATGTGCCAAGTGGCATGCCTTACTCTAGTAGATTTTCCTTTAAATATTGATGTGAAAATTGCAAATACTTTTTTATTATTATTTTTTTCTTTTTTCTCCCCAAAGCCCCAGTGCATAGTTGTATATCCTAGTTGTAAGTCATTCTAGTTCTTCCATGTGGGATACTGTCACCGCATGGTTTGATGAATGGTGTGTAAGTCTGTACCCAGGATCCAAAAGAGCAAGCCCCGGGCTGCTAAAGTGGAGCATGCAAACTTAACCACTTGGCCACAGGGCGAGCCCTGCAAATATGTTATTTTTAAAGTGTGAGTTATAAGATATTCTATGCCTGTGGCAGATTCTATTATAAATAGTGGTTATTTCCCAATATCATATTTTTCTAGAGGGAATATTCTTTTTACTTCTTGTCTTTTCTCCTTTAGTAACTACACTTATTTTTCACTTAATAAGACTACCTGGCCCAGAGGCCATTTGAATAGATTTAAAGGATGAGCTTCATTCTCTAGGCTTTCTAAGTATGAAGAATTCTCAGCTGGAATAAATAAATGTGGTAGAAACTACTTATTTTGCCACCCTACTGTTATAGTTTTCAAATTTACTTATCTAGGGGAAGAAATGCAGAAAGAACAGCTGTAGAGATTTTGTGGTTACAGCTTTACTACCTTGGAAGAGGAAATAGCTTTGGGTGGAATTTCGGTTGACATGGGAGAGCTGTGCTGCCTGGGAACATCAAGTTGCTAACTGACGTCAGGGTTTGGAAATCATGTCGGATTCTGTTGGTGAAGGGTTTTGATGGTGAACAAGGAAGGGTGGTGAGGCCAGGAGCACTTTTTTGCCCTTTCCTCTAGATCTGCAAGATATTATCTTTTTTAGTTCTCATGCAGCAAGCCTGGCCATCTGTCGTCAGAACAGGAAGCACTCTGACACTTAGCTCTGCTTCACTTTGTCCCTGAACAGACTGAATGGAATGAGAATAGTTTTCATCCCCCAGTTGTCAGTGGATCTGTAGAAGGCAGTAAAAGGGTCCGTCAATAGAATGTTTGCCTGGAAATTGTTTTTCCTTAAATTATACCAGTTCCCTTTCAATTGCCTCTAGTAATAATAAATGTTTAAAAAATGAAAAAAGAACTAGATAATGTTCTTTTTGTTGAATTAATTTGTATTTGGAGTTCCTTCCTTTAATACTATCTATGAAGGACTCAGTTGTGGTTGAAACTTATAGTTTAGTACGAGTCATAATGTGTGATGGAAAAGTACACACACAATCCATGTGACCGAACTAGCTGTGGAGGGCTTCATAAACCGTCTTGTCCTACTCTCTCATTTCACAGCTGAGAAATGAGAAATTCAGAGAGGGTAGGTGGCATTCCAAGGGTCTCACAGTTAGTTTATTAAAGGCTGAATCTGAAATGAAGCACACACTGCTGTCACCTATTCCAGTACTTTCTCCACTTCACCAGCCTGCCCTAACCTCAGCATGATTTCCAGATGACTTCCTTCTTTGGTTAAGTTAGCAAACTTGATGGAACATAGTTGTTGTTCCTATTTACAGAACTTTAAATACTTACTTTGATGGATATTTAAAGTATATTCTGTTAAATTTGTTGGAAGAGACAATATATTTGCTGGTCTAACTGAGAAAAAAAATTATTATCAAAACAAGGTAATACAGATTTTCATGATACCCTAAATGTTTTAAAATAAAGTACCAGATTAGTGGATCAATTTTAAGAAGTGAGAGGCCACAGCTGCTTCTTACTCCTCCTCGCGAAAATGTAGATTATTACATGGGCTATTAGAAAAATGCCTGGGCAGCTTCTGCCTTTAGGTCAAATGAACCTGATACATCTCCTTCTAGGGCAGATTCAGTAACTTTAAGTACCCTTTCTACCCTAAAATTCTATGATTCAGTTAAAGAGATATTTACCAAATGCAAAGCACCATGAACCTACAGTAATGGAGAGAGAACCTTAAATAATAAGAGCCAAAAAATTAATTTTCGAAAACCATAGAATTTTAGATGTAAAAGTTATCTTGCATATCATCTAAGCACCTCATTTTATAGATGAGGCTATGAGGGCTCAATCTCTGGTGTAAGACTAGCTTCAGTTTTCTCTGCTATGTTGAAACATTCAGGCTTAATACTGAAGTTTTATTAAGTGCTGTTAACTTTTCCAATTTGAATTGGCTTAATCCTATAGGGAAAACATACATATTTCTCTGGGTTTACCAGGTCATAGTAAGTTTCAGTGTATAAATATGTCTGATTTAAGTCCTCTCAGCTTTGAAATATTCTTTGTATTTAGAAATAAGGCAGTTGAAAGTTTTTAAATATATATAAACTAGGTTTATATCAGTAAACATTTGTGCTGTCCTATTCTGAGTGTTCTGAGAAGGAGACACCAAGAAGAGATTAAATGTGTAGGAGAATGATTAGGGGAAATTCCTGTGAGAGAAAATGGGGAAGGAGTTGGGGGGAAGCTGGAAGAACCTTCAGATCACAATGTGGGTCTGAGCCTTAGTGTGGGAGAGAGGGAAGGAAGGGCAGAAGGCTGGGTGAAGCTCGAACACTGCGTGTCTGTCTAAGGAAAGTACAGTAAGTCTGCTGGGGAGTCCTGGAGCCACTGTTGACCATCAGAGGAGGCCTGTCTCCCAGAAATGGGCTTGCCTTATTATTCCTGTTGTGCTTGGTCATTGGCTGTGAGCAGCCTGTGGGCAGTGTGGCTTTCAAGCAAATGCAGCTGCGGATTCTAGAGCACAGCAGCTGGGCTCTGGGTCAGTTACACTCCCAGCAGTCCAAGCTCTAAGAGGCACATTTTCATGATTACCATGTGTGCTTTATTTTTTAAATATTCCAGCTATTCTGAGCAAAGTCAAAGGATACATCATAGCATACATCGTGACATGTTTTCATATGCAAGACAGATAGCATAGAGAAATATTTATCTATTGTACTCTTTTTTCCATTTTACCTAATATGCGTTGACTTAATCTCCATTATGTCCTAGCTCTTGTAGGTAGGTGATGTGTAAATTATCTCTGGAGCAATACACAGGCTGAGTTCCCACATAAGTTGGGTGATCGTACAAGCTGTCTTAGGGTCCCAGGGAATTACCTCTCCCCTTGTCCTCAAAATGACCCAGTTTGGGTGAAAAATTATATGGTCACCCTATGAATTGTTGTATAATAAATCATGAAATAATTTGTCCTATATTTTCAGAATTTTCAGATGTCCCATAAAGTATGTGTGTATACATTTATAGGAAATCAGTAAAACGTTTTCTGTAGTTTCATGACAAACAAGAGAATGCACCTCACTTCTAGTGATATGCTAATACTCAGGTGTGCATGTGCTGTGTGTTGTCTTTGCTTTCTCAGCTTAAACCCTCTTTGCAGATAGCACTAACTTTGACCATAGAAGTGAACCCTATCAGACATTGACCTTACAGACATATTAGTGAACTAGTAAGTAAAGTTTTTGCTAGATTAGTAGGAAATATTTAAGTAGTTGAAAGATAAGCCTGTCTCAATAGTCTGTTCCTATAATTGCCTGACACAAGTGACGTTTTGCCCATAAATATGATTGGCAGAGACAAGTACTTTTAGAGAACAAGACTCAGAATTACTTTAGATGCTCTGAAGTCCCACCACACAATGTACTCAAACAAATTAACATATTTTCCTAGGTCCTGAAAAAAACCACGTATCAAGCCTTAAAAAGCAGAGTAAGCTATTGCTGATTTATTATTACTCTTTTTTTCTCATTTGTAGATGGAAGGTTATATTGAGTGGAGTTCTTGGAATGTTTTTCCTTGAGTTCCTTTATTTATTTTTGAAAGATATAGTGTCATAGGAAGGCAATGTAGATATATGTGCAACTGTGATTTAGGTAAATATTTTTTTCTTGTAATCTACATGTTAAGCTAATGTATTTCCAACTTTTTGGCCATATGGTGCATTTCATATTACAATCCATTTTGTACACATGCATGTATATAATTAAAATAGAAGTTACTCCAAATATACCTATGCCTAACCTCTGTATCAGTCAGGGTCCCATTAGGAGACAGAAACCACAGAAGTTATTTTAGGAGTGACTGTTATATAAAGAATCATTAACAAGGGGGAACTACTTAGAATGTATTACTCAAAGTAATTGATCTGCTGGCTGTTTGCTCCCAGTCAGCAATGAGATGACCTGAATGTAAATGTAAATCAATTCACTGCTTCT